GCGGCGACTTTCTTTACTTGATACAGATGGTATAATTTTTGAATTTTGGGCTTTTGAAGTTGAAGTTTCTTGTCCACAGAGTTACTTTCAGATCCAATGACTGAACTGCTTGTTTGATGAACTTCTTAGTTGCTGGATACGCGAGGTCTCAAGGTAGAACTCCTGTTAGCTTTGGTCCTACGGATCTCGTATGCTGTAGAACTTTGCAGGGTCATATGGGAAAGGTAATTTATGCTTCTGCAGAAAGTTGGTTCTGTATCTTATTGGTGAAGATGATCCTTTAGATGTGTGAATGTCCTTGCACCGGTTGTTTTATTTTTGTGCCCCCCTCTCTCTAACACTTGACTTATTCTCAGCTTCACAATCTTGGTGACCTCCTATGCTTTTAAGAGCCAACAGATGCTTATCATTTAGTTGGACTGGTAGAGTGTGGAATTAGCTGATCAATCCTGGGCTCTTGTATCAAGGTTTTGGAAAAAGATTGCTTAACTTGATGACCTCCTACATAACTTAGCTTCCTCCTTATTTACTTGAGCAATGCTGTCTATGTTTTTTTCATTAACGTTTTGTTGGGTCAATAGCCGGGGGCAGTCATGGGCAAGCAGTTGGCACTTTGATATCTAGCATGATGTCAATGATATTGGTCCATCTGTAATCTTAATTTTTAGTATGCTGATGGTAGACATAGCTTTTCTATTTTTCGTGAGATATGCCAATGCACGGCAACTATTTTCTTGATTTTCCAACATTGGCTGCACTTATTGTAGTTCAAACCACCAACCTTGGATATTTCAAATTTCAGATTAATTTCTCGACCATTAAAATTTTGCAGGTATATTCATTGGATTGGGCATCTGAAAAGAATAGAATTGTAAGTGCATCCCAAGATGGACGACTTATAGTATGGAATGCTCTTACTAGCCAGAAAACTCATGCCATAAAGCTACCTTGTGCATGGGTCATGACCTGTGCTTTCTCGCCAACTGGTCAGTCTGTTGCATGCGGTGGTCTTGATAGTGTTTGCTCTATTTTCAATCTGAATTCACCCACTGACAGGGATGGTAATCTGCCCATTTCACGGATGCTTAGTGGACATAAGGGTTATGTCTCCTCTTGTCAGTTTGTTCCCGATGATGATACTCACCTAATTACCAGTTCTGGGGATCAGACATGTGTTTTGTGGGATATTACAACGGGCCTTAGAACATCTGTTTTTGGAGGTGAATTTCAGTCCGGACATACTGCAGATGTATTAAGGTATTGTGTTGATTGCTGGATTAATTTTCCTTTCATTCCCTGGGAAACACTAAGAAAAAGAAGCAAAGGCTGTGATATCTCATTACCGCATCTTCAGCATGCTTGTTTAATGTTGAATCTTTATCATCTTCCTATCATATTATGTATATCCTATACCCCATCCTGAGTAAAAACTTAGTGACAAATAGAACATAATCCATTTGATAATGTGTAGTTTAAATTGTCTGAACTGTAATGTTTCTGGATCCCCTTGTCTAAATTCGTTTCAGTTAAATTTTACTTGTTTATTTTTGAATCCTTTCTTAGAAATATGTTATTGCTTTACTCTCTTTCAGCATTTCTATCAATGGATCCAACTCAAAATCGTTTGTATCTGGTTCTTGTGATGGTACTGCCCGATTGTGGGATACGCGCATGGCAAGCCGAGCTGTGCAGACATTTCATGGGCATGAGGGAGATGTTAATGCTGTCAAATTCTTTCCTGATGGAAACAGATTTGGAACTGGTTCTGATGATGGAACTTGCCGATTATTTGACACTAGGACTGGACACCAACTACAGGCATACTATCAGCAGCATAGTGACAATGACATCTCACATGTGACCTCCATTGCATTCTCTATATCAGGAAGACTTCTTTTTGCTGGATACACAAATGGTCATTGCTACGTTTGGGACACTTTATTGGCTAAGGTAATTAGGGATTTAGGGCTTGTTTGTTTAAACTTGAAGAAAAAAAAGTGAGTTTTAAATTAATTAAAAGACTGATGATTGTTTAGCTCAACTTGTAAAATCCTTTAGACAATAAAGGACGTTAAAAATAAAAATGAAAATACTTTTTAAGAAAGTGATTATTTTAAAAAGCAAATATAAGTAGCTTATCAAAATAAACTGAAAGCATTTTTTTTTTTTTTGGAGAGAATTACAATCAGGTTCCACAGAGGAAAATTAATTACTGCAAGATCAATTGACAACTGAAACCAAGTCGCATTAACAACTAGTTGTGTTGTCAATGTAATTTAGTTCAGTTGTCAATGGACTTTGCATTAATTGATCTCTTTATGTGCGACTTCAATGTCATTCTCCCTTTTTTTTGGGAGAATTACAACCAAGTTCCATACAAGGAACTTATTTACTATAAGGTCCATTGACAAGTATTGTCAATGTAGTTTAGTTCAGTTGTCAATGGTCCTTACAGTAATTAATTTTCTTGTGTAGGACTTCAATGTAATTCTCCTTTTTTTTTCCCTTGAAAGTGATTATTTTAAAAATCTTAAACAAGCAAATTCTTCACGTTTGGCTTAATCGAAATCACTTTTTTATCCTATTAGGTATGGTTGGCTATATGAACTATACGACATATCCATGTGAGATTCAACAAAGTTCTATATTGACTATTGAGAGTCTAACACAACCCTTCTTTTTTATTGGGCTTAGGACCAGCTATGAACAAATGGGCTCTTAATGTACATTAAATAGTCAACTTTGTTTTAAATTAACATTTGACGGTGCAATCACTCTTTTATTTTTCTTCTTGTCACTTGTCCAAATAAAGATAGAAAGCAAACTATGTTTGTACCATGTGGAACTCTTTAACATTGAAGCAAGTTATACAAAGACCATTTTTAATTTATGATGAAAAATTCTCTCTCGACCCTTCATCATATGATCTGAGATTTTGTTACTAGCTTGCTTCACTAGCAAAATCTTATTCCTTCACCAGATATGAACTGCTGTATACCTTTCCTACTTGGCAAAATTGCAATATGCTCATGAGCCATCTATGTGTATATATTAGCTCATATCACTTTTTGATATTTCTATGAGCAATAGGTACTTTATTGTATACATTAGTAGCAAGTATCATATTATTTCCTCGTGTCATGTTTCTTTCTCTTTCTCTTTCTCTTTTTTCCTTCTGGTGACTCAAGTAATCTTCAATGCTCATCATTATAACTGTAGCATATTGGATCTTCTGGCTTTGAAAGGTTTGAGTCCTTTGTCTCTTACCTGTGTCTCGACAGAACCTTGGATTGGGTGCAAGTAAGAAGAGTTTGTATGAACTATTCAAGGTGGCTGGTTGATGATTTTTTCTTTTGGTTAAAGGCAAGGCAATGGAAGCTTAAAACGAGCAGGAATTACAGCATTAATTTAAGCTTCAACCCTGGCAAACTGAGCATGGTTTTTTTAATTAAAAGCAATAAGAATAGAATATGGTACCCTCTTGGGACATCTCGTGGCTTGATTTCATAGACACCACAAGTTGTTTCTTCCTTTCTCCTCTCTTCAATTTATGCTTGCTCATGTATCTGTAAACTAATTAAAACGTGCTTCCTTGTTTTATGGCAGGTGGTATTGGATTTAGGATCTCTTCAGAACTCTCATGAGAGCAGGATCAGCTGTTTAGGTTTGTCAGCTGATGGAAGTGCCTTGTGTACAGGAAGCTGGGACTCAAACTTAAAGGTGAGCATGCATTTTGGCATACTTTATGCACTATATGATATGCGACAACATGGGGGGCTCCAACTCTTTAATTGTAAAAGAAAAGGAAATAAAACATAACGCTATAAGTCTATGGTGACTTGATATTTACAACACACACTTAACAAGTGTATTGTATCAATTGTATCCATGAATGTTAATGTAGATGCTAGGCTAATTGTTATCTCAGGTGAATGTATTTTTTTCTTTGGGCCGTATAGTTGCTTAGAAAAGCTCAGGTGGTTAATCTGGTACTAAATTTGCTATTCTCTAATAGATAAGTGCTACTCTATTAGAGTGGTTGATGGAGTCATTCTTCTTTTATAACTTGTGTGCGAATTACTTCACATCCCTTGTTTGACCTATACATTGCTCTTTCAAACAAATCAATACTAAGCATTATTTTAAGCGCTCTCTTGCAGATTTGGGCGTTTGGAGGGCTTAGAAAGGTGGTTTGAACCATGGAAGAGCTAAGATTTGTGCCTTTGCATGGCATCTGAGGTTCAATATAATCGTTTGGCGATGCTTTTGATGGTTAATATGCAGACGGATTGCATGGAAGGGGGCAAAAGTTATATGCCCTACTATTTAAACTAGTGCTGCAGTTTGTTTATCCTCATGTCCGGTTGTCCAAGTGTGTGATCTAGGATTTCCATTGTATTAGCCACTTTGGTACCTACACGTTAAACGTAAAATGAAGGACCATATATTTTCTTGTCTCTCGGTATAGTGCCAAACAACATTGCTGTTTAGTATTGATTTGTATCAGTTTGAGGGTGTTAATTACTTAAAATATCCACCTGGCCTGTCCGGTGGTGCTATGGACTATGAGGCACCGAGTGGGAGGCAACTTGCTTAATAAAAGTAAGCTGAACGCTGCAACTGAAAATTGAGAACCTATGCCTCTATTAGCTTTATATAATTGACTTTTGCCATGGCATTTGACTTCTGAGATAAATGATCTCTGTTTGGAGTCAATATATCTTACGTTAGTGGCTGGCCTAAACTTATGCCTGCTTTCATTATTTTCTACTGCTTCTTATGATTATTCTGTGGATGCTTTTTAAGGAGCTTGGGTAGTTTTTTAGCCTTTAGGGCTATGAACTTTGCTATGGAGAGCCTGACCATGATGCGCAGAAGCGGACATCGGGTAGCAAAAATGAGAAACACATCTAATGAAGCAGCTACCATTATAAGATCTTTTTGTACGCAAGCTACTCTAAAATGCCTGAAATGATACCTAGAAGCCCAAATGCCGCAGGGACAAGAAGAGCAGGCCGAGTGTACTATATTCCAACTCTTTTAAGTCTTTACAGTTAAGCCCATCTAGGGCTGTCTTAGCTCTTAATTCCAATGTCAAACAGTAACAAAGAATCTCTACTCTAACTCTTAATTCCAATATCAAACAGTAACAAAGAATCTTTAGTCTCCAACAAAAGTAAAGCCGAAGTCAACGTTGTTTGACGTTGAGGAATTTACTAGCCGCTTGCCACAATTTCGTGAATGGCATCACTGACTGTTTCATCCTCGGATCTAACAGCCAGTTTCATCGCTACATCCTTTGGTCCATCGAGTCCGAAAGACACCTTCACAAGCACCCTCACATTTCCCATGTATACACCTGACAAGACGCATGTGTGTGACCTTGCATTGGGTGCTACAGCCTCTGTGCCCTGCACAAGCAAACGCATACCCATTTAGATGCCATCTCCCTTCCCAGACGTTTATATAAATGATAATCATACACTAAAGATAATCCACTTTATTTATGTGCCTTCTGTGACCGCGTGCGCAACATTTTACACAATTGGGCACCAGGCAAAATATGCACACTGCAATTACACGCCAAGTAAATCAACCCCAAAAGTTGTATATGATGCCCAAGTTTTCAACGTACGATCTCTACCATATCAATTCTCGGAATAAGTATCTAATTAAAGGACGCACATAATACCGGTATTTTGGCTGTATCTTACAAAAACCTTAAAAGCTCCAAGAGAATCATTGACCTTACCTCACAGGGCTGCATGCCAAGGAGATTGATGACAGTATTTACAGCCTCGGCCAAGCTCTCTCTTGGGCCAAGACCATATTCATCCACTCGTTCACAATTAGGGCCCATGCTTTCCCATGCATTTCTGAAATTAGACACCCCCACTTTCAACATGTAATCTGCTGCGACAACCTCCAGATCCTCCAGTTGGTATTCATCTTCAACACCATCATCTTCTGCCTCGCCGGTGGTTGGGTCAACCTAATGAACATCCGAAGCAGTGATGAGATTGCCACAAAATTGTTATAGGTTTTCTTTTTTATAAATCTCCTCCCAGAGATAAAATGAAACAGGCTTCATGTTTAACTTATTGAATATGTATAACTATTTTATGATGCTGATGTTTTATAGCACTAGATATAATAGATAGACAGAGAAGCAGCTGCTTTCTAACACAAAACTGAGCCACCCACATGTCACCACATCAAACATAATTGAAATTTTTGATCAACAAATATACAGTTCATGACAAAGACCGACCACAGCTTCATGATAAAGCAAAATACCTCTTTAACGAAAAATTTCAGAACATTGGAAAATTTTCCAACTGTCGGCAACCCATCAGGCTTCTCAAATGCCACAAAAGTCTGTCCTGGTGAATCATAAGGAAGTGATCTGAGAGGCTTGGAGAGCACTTCAGAAAACTCCTCTGCTTCTGAAGCATCAACAATAACAGTAACCTGGAAAAAAGCAAAAGAATTATAAAGAATACTCGGTATTCGACTGTATTATGAAGTTGTACTGTATCTAATTGTTCATTACATCTTCCAGTAATTGCTCTGGTATCGTGTTTGTGCAGTTGTACTGGAACACAACATGCCTGTCAAAAATGTGTTTAACAACATTCACTGCATATTCAGTCTCTGCTTCAGTAAGCTCCACAGGTGCTGAGGACTGTAAACATGTAATGCCATTAGACATTTCATCAAATTAAGAAAGGAAAACCCAAAAGAATCAAGTGAACGAACTTTGAAAAGCTTCCCAAAGTTTGCAAACTCAGGAACCGAGGAAAGCAGCCTTTCATATGCATCTGCGGTTGATGGAGGGCCACTTGGAGGAGCACCCAAACCCATTTGCTTTTTACCTGGAGCTTTCTTCTCTACATATGAATGAGATTTAACTTCCTTGGGCACAGAGTTAATGTCAAAAGGCTCTTCTGAAGGCTCCTGCATTCATACTAAATAGATTTAGATGATATCCATAACACATGGAGCAAGAAAAATGGCAAGCACTTACATAGTTTTTCAAACTAGTCTCCAGATTGACAAGTGGGACGTCAAATAACCCAAAAAGGAAGTCCCTAGCAGCTTTGTCAGTCTCAACAACCAAACCATCACCTCCAAGTGTTTTCAGATAGAGTGTTGCCCTATCACGAACCTGCAAAATAAACAGTTATACAGTATAAATCTCAGGGCCAATGCTTTCATATATATTCCTGAAATTAGGCACCCCCACTTTCAACAAGTAATCTGCCGCAACAACCTCCAGATCCTCTAGTTGATATATGAAAGTGAATGTTGGGCTTTATAGGGATAGCAGGAGCATAAAGTCAGAGTAGCAGAGATGAGAATGTTGATATAGATATATGGCATGTACGAAAAAATAAAATCCGAATGAGCATATGTAAGAAAAAATGGACGTAACATTTATTGAAGGAAAAATGATAAAAAATTGTTCAAGAAACATGTACAGAGAAGGATTGAGAGGCATTGGTGAGGAGAGCAGAACGAATAATCTTGAGCCTCGTAAAAAAGGGTAGAGAAAGACCAAAAAAAATACTTATGAAAATTGTTGAACGAGATCTCTTAGTTTACAACATTTTTAAAAGCTTGATTGATGATAAAGCACAATGGCATCATGCAATCCATGTAGCCGACTCCACTTAGTGGGATAAAGTTTGTTGTTGTTGTATACAATATAAATTTCAAGGACTGTTATTATTTATTATTATTTTCCATACCTCTAAAATGGTAGAAGGGGGAAAGGAGTCCGGAGTTCATGCATACTTTTCAAAATGTGCAGAGATAGGAATTAGGTAATATGGGATGCCTAAATTTCAAGTAATATAGACTAAAGAAAGTAATTATTTGTCATTGACAACAAACTTTCAAGGGTGAGTTTGCCCACACCTCCTTGGATCCTACCATGCCACAAACATTTTTTTCATTAGAAACTCATTCATAATATATGATGATCTCAACAATTCAATTTTTCTTTTACAAGCATTAGTACAAGCTACGATAAAATAGTCATAGCTTCATGCATTGAAAAACAATAATATAGATGCCTCGTAAGATTTGATAAAAAACAAACCTCATCATCACTGTCAAAAAGGCATCGCCTTAGCAAAATAAATATGCGAGGCTGAAAGAGTAGAGCATGACATTTCAAATTCAGTTAGTATCTTCCACAATGAAATCAGGTTTTTAAAGAAAGTCATTACAAAGTAATAATTAATATACAGAGGACAGTAATACCTTTAATGCATCAACTGAAGCAGCAAACCTTGCCAAAGTGCTCACAGCACTGGCCCTAACGGTTGCATTCTCAAGATGCACTCTATTATATATGTATCGTATAAATTTACTCGGGTCAGATGTTTTGGGCCCTTCAATTCCCAGGAAGTGCAGTATCTAGTGTATAAGGGAAACAAAATAATTAAACACAGTAGAATGGATAAACTATCAAGTGTAAATTGTAAAAGATGAAGGATGAACAAAAATAATACCTGGGCGGACAAATAGGTGAACTCACAATCTTCAATGAACTCACAAAGATGAAGCAACCCACTCTCTTTGGCTTCCGGGATATCTCTAATGAGAATTACAATTGAATCAACAATGGCCTTCTTGTACTCGAAACCCCCTTCTTCCCTGAGAATGTTGCTCAGGAAGTTCATCCTGAAATCAATAACAGAACACCAACCAGTAAATTAGACCACTTTAACAAGAAATGTCCAAAGAAAGGTGGAACAACAGGGAGAAAGAAATTTATTGTATGATATGCCTACTCACAAAGACCGATATTTCAAGGGAAACTTTAAACACAGTGATCTTATTGCTTCAACCACAACAATTTTGAACTCATCAGCAATATCTGACATGAAACTTGTAATTTGCTTCATAAGACGATCCACACTAGACTCATTTCCTGTCTTCAGAAGTGTAGTTATTGCAAGCGTGGCAACACTTCTGTTCTGGTCAGAAATTAAACTTTCCATGTCAATATTGCAGTTAGTGACTGCCGCTGCATGAGTCATAGCCACCTGCAAAGTTTGATAGAAGTACAAAGAATGGTCAATATCTATCCAAGGCAAAGTTTGAGAGATTACCATGATTAAATTCTTTTTAAGAGTTTTGGTTTAAAATAAACTGAGTGCTTTTTTGGTATTTGGGGTTTTCCAAATGACTAAAAAATGTTTCTTCATTGCTACTCTGACTGAACTTTCCAAAGCCCAGATAATTCTGTTTTAAAATTCATGGTTTGTACAAAAGCTACTTCCTCTTTTCCTCCTTCATATTTCATATTACAGCTAAAATCTTGTTTTCCTCCCTTTTGATTCTTACATTGCAGCTAGTTGCCTTGCTATTTCCTTTTTCTCCTCCACCCATTTTTTATATATGTCTATCACAGCTGCTGCTTCTTATCATGCTTTATTTTTCCAGTTTCTCAATGTTCATGACATTGCACCACATTACTAACAGGATTACTTGTTTTCACACTTTTATTGAGCATATATTGTTTATATGAGCTATTTTCTTGACTATATGAGTAGTTAATTTACGTAATTAATTTATGCACAAAAGTTTGTACATTAGTCCCCTTTGTTCTTATATATAAAATTGCATATTCCCTTGGTTGAGCACCAGTTTAGTGCTTCATCCCTCAACGGCACCCTCCCCATTTGGCTACGCTGAAAAACACTCAACCCCTGAGAGGTGTTGTTCAAATATCTTCAAAAATCAAAGGGAGTACCAAATAACTTCTATTGAAATTTAAGTAAAAAAGGTTGACCTTGTTCAAGGTTCGGACAGCAGCAAATCTTAAGACAGGCTTAGATGAACTTAGGAAGAGTTGGAGAACAGTAATTGCTGGAGTTAATTCTCTGCTTGTAACACCATTAAGCTCTGTAATTGCTCTGGCAGCTTCAAAAATTACCATCTCTGACTTGTTGCGAAGGCAACTCTCAAGATAATCATAGAAGGGGCGATCCCCAGCCTGTGTATTATTGCCTGACTCACGAATAACCTGCAGACATGATACTAGATAACTAATATGCAAATAAATACCATTCTGGTCCCAATATTAATACAGATCAAAAGAAAAAAGCACCTGACTTGTATAACGGATCAAAAGGCATTGGGCCAAAGGTGAACGGACAGTTCCCCTTGTCAAGCTAGTAACCAACTTGCTAATAGCTAACCGATCATTCTGCCGTATCTGCAACATTGTTGATCACCATGTATCATCAAGACTTCAGGATCTCAACGCATTATACATAACAAAATAAGGCTTCTAAACAGGCAAAAGTAATACGAATGGCAGAAATTTAAAGGACTTCAGAGAATCAACAGAATCTATATATCATTCCTCACAAGCAACTTCATATAATAAATGGAATGTGAAATTCAAAAACAAGAAAGTGCTGGATCATGGAAAATTTATAGCTATTCATAATCAATTAAACCCCTCTGGTATTTATCAGAATTTAAAAATACAAGGCTATGACTATGAAGCATATTATCATTCATCAATGCTTAAAGCTGTTCATGGGTAGGGTCAGGTATCATCATATTTAGTTTGAACTTAATATTAATAGGTCTGAACTTTGTTTGGATTCAAATAACAATATGATTTATTAAGTTTTAAAATTATGCATTATATACACATTTAATTAATCTTTTTCTTATAAAAAAATTATCCTTTAATGAAATTAAGAATTAAAATTAACATATGCAGCATAACTAGAGTTTAATCAAAATTGATACAGATGAGAAGTTACTTAGAGATATGCATCAAATTAACATCCATAGAGGCATAACTGTGAACCCAGCAGGAACCCAAACGGCAATCCAGCAGAAAGAACACTTTTGCCCAGCAGTCTTCACTTTATGGCTTCAAAGCCTGCCTTTGATGCATGAAGGAGAAATCATGGGGGCCAGCACTAGCCTACCCTAGGATCCATCCCTAACTAGGATACCCCAAAAGAAGTATCAAGCAGGATTTTTTGTTTTAAATAAAAAGGTTCGATCTCAATGCATATTGGATAAATTGAGAGTGAATCTACCTGCATACTGTTATATATTATAACATATTATTTATCATATATTCCCATGCCAGTAAGTTTACTTTATAAACTTACCATACCCTCTACCGTTACAAATGCCAGTACCTGTACCTATGCAAAATATATAAAAGGATATGGCTAAAACTACTGTATTGAATTTTATGTTTCCACAGTTCTAAAACAGGGTGCCATGATTAGATAGGCACATGAATTTATTTATTTTTTTAATTGCTCACAAATATCCTTTTTTTAGAGGCAATCCTATTTGAAGCATGATCGGGCACTAAATGTAGGTACCTCTCCTAACAAGGATTCGAATTTTAGTTCATCATGTTGTCAGGAATTAACTCCTATTGCTAGATCCAACCCCCCCCCCCGGTTGGCCGGGCATATGGATTTTTAACTGCTAGAGTTGAAGTGAGGAGAAAGATTAGCGATATGAAAAATTTTTAAGACAACACCGCAAACAAGACTAGAAACAATTTGAAAAAAAAAAATCAAATTCTGTAAGATTTAATTCAAGAACACTCTGTGTGTGTGTGTGTGTGTGTGTGACAAATTTATACCCTTAACAGACTCAGAGAGAATTAAAAAAGAGGCCAGATCACCCAGAATAACCAATATTAAAGCTGTGATCATTGGTAAGCAAACAAGACTGTCATTTAGCAAAGTAACCTTAAGTTCCTCCTCAGTTGGAAGATATAACTCAACATCAGGCTATCACTGATCACTATCAAAACATTGTTTTGTTGAATGATCTACATTGATGATGACGATGTTTAAATCTATAGCATAATTTACTGAAAACATCATAAAGCCTTGTGCAAATAAAACCATCGTGCAACATACTTGTTGTAGCAAAGCCAATGCGTGAAACTGTACAAGAGCTGCTCTTGATTGAACTGCTTCCTGAACCTCATTGCTCCACCTTTTTACAATTTCAGGATTTGTCTGAAAAAGGACAGAAGTTAAAAAAAACAAACAACAATTACAATATGCTATTATAAATAATTACATGCTACAATTACAAATACCTGGAGTAGGTGAATGCCACTAACTAGGGCTGCGCTTGCAACAACTGGATTCTTATCTACAATTGCTTGTTTCAAATACCGCTCAATCTGGGTGAGAAGTGTTCCATCAATAATACGACAAAGCACACGAATGGCATTTGCCCTATACATATCAGTCTTGCTATTCATGTCCTTCATGAGAGAACTTGTGACGATAATAACCTTTCATAAAATTAAAGCAAAGGATAACTCAGAGAACAGTTCGCAATACATGAACAATACAAGGGAGTCTAAGTGTCTAACAAGAAAGAAGAATTGCATAAGAACATGTAACCTCATCTGCAGAGGGAGAGATTTCCTTTATCATCAGATAGACCATTCTCCTTAAACCAAGATCTTTAGACTGGAAAAGCTTAGTCACAGCAAAAAAAACTTCTGTGGCTTCGACCTATGAAATTGAAGCACGAAACTACAAAACGATCAGTAACAACTAAAATATAATACTGAAAAGTCAATCTATAAACAAGTAGAGATCTTTAAAACAATTATAATGAAATGTTGAAACCAATAAGAAACTGTTCTTAACCTTTGTAAATGTCTCTCCCTGATTTAGTAGGTACAAAAGCTTCGTGATAACCTGGAAATTAAATAGCACGCATAATTTTCAGAGTTGACTGGCAAATAATTTTCAAAGCAAAGCTTGAAAACAGAAATCCGTGGTTCGAGATGTAAACCTGTGAACATCTCCTAGCATCTAGTTGTGGATCATTAAAAACCCTGGCTTCTTGGAGAACAGACCCCTTTTCAATTCCCAAAAAGGGAGAATAATCGGCTGTTAACCAACGAAAGTACAATTAGCTTACGTGGGCACCATATCATAATGGAGTGATATAATATAGCTATGTAGGACTTCCAATGCACGAGCCTAGCTTGGACCAGACCGGGAAAAAAAAAAAACTATCAACTGATCAACATAGACTAATTCAGACTAATTATATCTCACGGCTAAGAGCCTTCCAGTTTCCAAATACCATAATGAACCCAACCAGATCAAACGAGGAGAAACAAGCACGTCAGAGTTTAAAATTAATTTCAAACAAGTGTTATGATCTAAGAGATCCTACTGCATTCCAAATATAAAGTGAAAATCAAATGCAGATCTGGAACCGAAACAGAGTGATCCAGCAACAGCGGGCTTTAGAAGAGAAATACTGAGCACAAACAGAGCAGAAAGTAGATAGAATTGCGAATGGAAATATCAAATAACTGATATTTCGTCGGGGCAAAATGTGGAGTTCGGTAGTAAGAAATAGGAATCACCTTCATCGTCTCGGTCATCGTCTTTCTTCACCAGAGGCTGAGCCATGACCGGAGAAGGGGAATCTCTGAGATCTGGAAGCTATACAATCTCGATCGATCTCTATCTCTATCACTATCTCTCTATGTATGCGAGTCTGGCAGCACTCTAGTGAAGTTTGGAAATGAGAAGCTTGCGAGGCGAAATGAAGAGGAAATCGCCCCACAACGCAAGAGGGCCTCGGTGCATCGATTGAGTATCGAGCCACTGACACAGATCAAGTGCAGCGCGGGTCTGCATTTTAATTAATTGCACATTTACCAAGATTTAATTACCGCATCATACCAACCGCGATTTTTTTTAAGCCAACCATCTATTTTAGTTGGTTAATTAGTTAAATTTAATTGATCATATTTATCAATATAATATAATTATTAATGTTAATACAAATATATAATCTATAAGATATAAATCAAAATTAGGATCGATTGACTTAGCTGAAAAAATATTATTCTCATAAAATATGGAACAAATTTTTAAAAATTTAAAAATATGATTGATTTGAATTAATATCTAAGACGTTTATGATTAAAATTTTAAAAATTTAAAATAAATTAATCATTGATATAAAATAATATATAATTAATAAATATAATAAATTAATTATACTATAAAATATAATAAATGTTGAGTTATTTATTTAATTTAATTTTATAATATGAGTTATAGCTATAAAAATCTTTATAAATTATGTGGCTCGTTCTTTATATCATCATGGGGACCTGCGTAGTTTTTACAGTTTCTTTTCAAGATTTTACAGTTTTTATTTTTGATTTTAATCTGGTTGCAATTTAGCATCCTTCATCTATCAAGTTGAAAACGTAGGAGAACTTTTTCATTTTGGGCATCTCAAACTAGCTTAAAAAAAATGAGGTAAACATGGTATAGATAGCCATGGACGTTCAAATCATTTTTACGTTAAAAGCAAAATAATTCACTCTAGCTATTAAGCAAGCCTCTGCACATCTATTGAAAGAGCGTTGTACTGATGTTATAATTCTCATAACACGATTTCTAAAATATCGGTGGTTAAAAAAAAAGATTATTAAAATATCAAGTACCATAGTTGCACATACATACATATACACACATATAGAGAGAGAGAGATTGAGGGAAGCATGCAGGATGCTCCAAAAAAAAAATGATTGAATATGTCATTATCTTGTATACAGTAAGGGAATTCTGCGACTGGTATGTATGAATACTTCTATTTTTCGATGGTAAAGATAAATTCATTTTCATCATGATGTGTATGTATGATAGTGTAGGAAAGGAGTGGATGAACTTGTCATTATGATTCTACCAATGAGAAAGGTCTCTTCCGTTTCATCAAGATATGCGGTATGTAGGTCGGTAGTCAGGTCGTTCACGTAAATTTATATATTTGTCCATTTCAATCGATTCTTCAAATTCAAGGATCATGGACATGCATTTTGTAATAGGATGTCGAGCTTTTCAGTAAAAAATTGCTGTTATAACCAAGGAAAAAAAATTTCGAAACTAAAATTTAATTAGATATTATAATTAGGAAAAACAAAAGCAACATGAATCAATCAAAAGGGCATTGACAAAAGTCACCAAATTAAGCAAAATTTGAAAATCCGAAACAATCCGAATCCAAGAGTGAAGTTAGACAAATTGCAGCGACCCCTTCTACATGTTAATTAATAATGTAGATAAATGTAACACAAGTGATTCAATATTCTCCCCTTTTTTCGCAAATAAAAGAAATACTTTTTCCCCCTCCAGCTTAGTGTACGTGATACCAAAATAAGAATAACAGCTGAAATAAAAGAAGCGTAGTCTAGGTAGCTAAAGTAATGCAACAAGTTGATAAAACAAGGATTTCTAATTAATGGAGATGATTTTATTGGGTTCACAAGCTGGAGGTTTGCGGGTGAAAGTGGGTGCGACGTCGTTTGGGGGGGCACGTTCGATAGATTGTTAATTACTTGGACTTGCCGTATTCAGAAGAGTGCTCTTCACTGCTTGAGGAGGAGGGGTTGAGACCATACTCGCTTGTTTGGCCAAATTCACTGCTTGCGTAGCCGCTATCCAATGCAAGCTTTCTGAACTTCTTCATGTCCGCACTGTAAGTGCTAGCATCATATTCCATACTGCTGTTTGTGAATATTGAACTCTGCCCAGGCTTCACTCCCTCGCTCAGGTCATCCAGTGACACATCACCCTCCAGTGCGCGTACAATCTGTTTCACAATGATGTCCATCATTTATACACACTAATAGCTACTCAAATATTCACACCAAATGAAACAATCATAATATATACACACTTGGCTCATTTTTGGTCGCCTTCTCGCGGAGTGCCTGACACTGGCACCAGCACAAGCCACCATACGGGCCATCTCCTGCATGTCATAATTGTTCGCTAATCGTGGATCCACCAGACCTTCAAAGCTTCCACTTTCCATCGCCTTTATGCAAAGAGGTCTGGCCTGCATATTGATGCAATTCATTATATATATATATATATAAGTGCACGGAAAGTACAGTGGGAAATTATGTTTGGAGCCATAATTAAGGAAAAGTTAAAGGTGTGTATAAATTATCTATATACCCAGTCAACTAAACTGTCCTCTTCATACTCTCCGGTGGTGTCAACCGGAGGTCGTCCTGTTATGAGCTCCAGGAGCATAATACCGAATGAGAAGACATCAGACTTCTCAGTTAATTTGCCACTTGAAGCATACTCAGGAGCCAAATACCTGAATTGCAATTATATATATGGATCAATTAGCTAACCATATGCTTCCACACTTGAATCTTTTTCCTTCTCTGAAGGATCTGAAAAGTTTGCTTACCCGAATGTTCCCATTACACGAGTGGAAACATGGGTGTTGTTGTCTTGGGTAAACTTTGCCAATCCAAAATCTGCCACCTGAATTTTTCACCCCCAGAGAGTCGATTTATGAGAACAATTAAACATATATAACCTAATATCGTAATTTCAAGCCAACAAAATTTCTTTTCCTTAATCTTCACCTTAGCTTCGAAGTTGTTTTCAAGTAGAATGTTTGCGCCTTTTATGTCACGGTGAATGATCCGTGGGTGGCCTAACGAGAATTTTAGATATAAATTATTAATGTTTCATCCTCAACCAAAAAGATAAAAATAAAAAAATGATTTGAGTGTAATTATAAATAAGATCATCAAAGCAGATCACTCACAATCCTCGTGCAAGTAAGCAAGTCCTTTGGCCGATCCAATCGCGATTTTGAGCCTAGTCGGCCAATCCATAACAGGCCGATCCTTTCCTGCCAATTCAATTTCGAAGATCGACAAGTTTTAGGGAAGAAAATACAATAATTGATTACATCACAATTCATATTATGAATGTACTACAATTAGATGAATAAAAAATCATGCTGAATAATATTAATTAATAAATTCTTAGAATATTATATCAGTTACACAAAGCATACAGTAAATATATGTAAAATGATGACAATCAAGACAAAAGTTTAGTTGGGAGAAAACAGCTGAAGCAGGAGATACAAGAGCAAGCAGCAGTTCGACGAAGGGTTTTTGCATTTAGGCACACAAAAGTCATAAAAATATAGAATAAGATATTGAGATCCAGACTGAACTGAAATTTGATACATGTTCCATAAAGGGGAAAAAAAAACGTTTGGGGTTTTTTTAGTGAAAAAACCACGCTAAACCGTTCAAGTACAATAATTAAGCCATGTCAGCATTTATAACTACCAAGTGGATCGACAAAAATTACAGATTCTAAATTTTCTCTCAAAGCATGATGGGTAAGCCAATTATAACACATTTGTTTACTTCTTTAAATGCATAAATAAAAAATATCTTTCAGCCTCTAATAGTAAAATCTCTGACCTCATTGATAGTATATGATAGAGAATTGTTATAGATGAAATCGTATTGAATATCAGATCACTTTAAAATGATGGCGCAAGCAAATCACATAAGTTATTCTACACGCAAATTATTTTTAATATATCACTTTAAAATAATATAGATAAATATTGCAAAGCTTGAGGAAAAGATAGTAGCTGGAGCGTGGAAATTAAATTAAGAGTAGGCTTAATTACCGTGAAGATGGTATTCCATTGTTTTGTTAGGCACAAACTCATAGACCAAGAGACTGCGACCATCTTGAATGCAATATCCAACAAGAGAAACGAGATGGCGATGATGGACTCGGCTGATGATATCAACCTCGGCTTGGAATTCTTTGTCTCCTTGCCCTCCCGTGGACTTGAGGCTCTTCACGGCTATCTCCTTCCCGTTCGGCAGCACTCCTTTGTGCACATACCCGAACCCGCCTTGTCCCAGCAGGTTCCCTTGGGCGAACCCATTGGTTGCCGCCGCTAACTCCTCGTACGTGAAGGTGCTCTTGTTGAACCCTAGTGCCACCGAGGGGTGTGGCGGAGGCAGCGGAGGACCTACCGGCCCTGAATAGCTCGCGCTGCTCATCTCACCGCTGTTCATGTTTCCGGAGAATGGAGCCGGCGGTGCTCCCCAAGGAGTCTTATTCACGCCTCCTCCTCCTCCTCCTGGAGGTGCCGGAATGTTCATAACGTGTTGGTCACCAGTGTTGTAACCAGTATTGTTCCAATTGTTTCCCTTCTTTGCGTGCTTGTAATAGTCATCATCTGCATCTCCCCATTTTTGTTCACACGTGAGCCACCTGTATCTTCCCATTCTGGTCTTCTAAATACTTTTAACATTTTTCCTCTTCTTCATCTACTTGATCGTTGTCTTCTTTGTTTAAACAATAAATATGAATCTTTATTCTTTGATTTTGAAATTGACATTTTCAAAAACAAGTTGTCATGTTGTTCTACCCTGATTAAGTCCGCAAGATTGTTACTTTTTATTCATTATCATTCTAATATTACAGGATATTAGACATGCATGCTACAGTTTAAACTTTAAAGTCAAGTCATGGATCACTTGGCCTTCGTGTTAGTCTTACATATACAAACGAAGTTTGACGGAAAACTGTAGATTAAATGTATTAATCAAATACGACATGCTTGAGTTAGGAAATAAAGTTGTACCAAATTTTTTGTTGGCGTAGTAAATAATGGGACCTTCAGATCTCTTCTTCTTCCTTCTGTTGCATGCAACGAAGGCGATAATGAACACGAGCAGCAGCAAGCCTGCTCCGGCAGCCAACCCAATGATAGCTGGTACGCTCAGTTGAGATCCATCGTTGTTGCTACCTGATGACGGTGATGGATTACTCGATGGTCCATGTGAACTTTTTTCCGATGGAGACAACCGGTGCACCGGTGGCGGAGGCGAAAACTCTCCCTTGGAATTCGATGGAGGTGGAGGCGGCGGAGGGCTCCTTGTTTTGTTATCGTCTCCACCGTTGTTATCGTTGCTATTAGAAGGTGGAGGAGGGGGAGGAGATGAGTTGTTGCCATTGTCTTGGTCGGGTGGCGGTGGGGGTGATTGGTTATCGGACGGTGGTGGCGATGAGGGAGGAGGAGATTGCGGCGGGGGAGACTGTGGTGGAGGGGATGATGGAGGAGGGGACTGGGGTGGCGGCGAGGAGGTGGAATCGTCAGGTGAATTTGAATCCGGTGGGGGTGACGGAGGAGAATCCGAGGAAGATGAATCAGCCGAAGGCGGGGAATCGGAAGTTGAAGCCATTAATGAATTATGTATTGCCTTCTCCAACTAATGTGATCCTTAAAGATCTATCTGGAGAAGCCTGACCCGCTCCCTCAAATGTTAATTCTCTATTTCAAATTAATCAAGTATATGAATGGAATTGGATAAGGAAAAATCAGAAAACAGAGAATAGGCATTGGAAGTATATGACGAGCACGTGCGAAAGCGAGGAAACTATTCTTCCCTTCCGAAAGAGAAAGAGATAATAGGGAAGAAGGAAAGACGTGGGAGCATACCTGAGAGCAAAGGACAGGCAGATTCTCAAAGGAAGAAGATGAAGACGAAAATGCATGGAAATAGTGGGTAAAGAAAACTAAGACATGGTGTTTTCCAAGTCATCTCCTGCAAAGTAGGGAAGTTCGGAGACTTCTCACTGCAAATTTACTATTTTTAAGCTTCAATGTTGTGTCATTGTTGCGATGAATTGCTAATATAATTGTGGCTGTTATAACTTTGAGCTAAGAAATTGAAAACGGATAATATGACTTGTTATAAAAATATGGGTAAAACTTATATATTTAATTTTGTATATTTAATATATTTAATTATATTCAATCAAATCATAATAAATGAATATCAATGTGTTAATAAAACTAAGGCTAAAATGTATAAAATTTGTTTAAATTTTGAGGTAGTTACATGTGATTTTTTCTACTTTTAAAAGTTTAAAATTAATTCTCTTAATGTTTAATTTTATTTTTCAAAACCATTACTATTAATTATATTATTTTTTCAAAAGAGTTAAAATTTTATTTAACTAAAAATATTATTAAATAAAAATATTATATTTTAGAATTATTTATAATCAATTTCTTATTTTTTTAATAATTGAGACATTAATAGCAAAAAAAATTATTATTATTGTAAAACATTTTAAATTTTTACTTTTATATTAATCTTATCCATATTTTTTTGTTATCAATAGTGCATAGTTTTATTATTTTAAAGAATAATTTTTTATTTATATTTTCATGTTAGAGTAATGTAATACACATGATTAAAATATTTAGAAGTTTAAATATTATCAGGTTAGATTAATTTATCCTTTAATATAAAAAAAACTATGTATCATTGATAACTGAAAAAGGATAGAACTAACACAAAGGTAAAATTTTAAATTTTATATGGTGATAATAATATTTTTTTTGTTATGAATGCCTCAACTATCTACAAGATATAAGAAATTAATTAGCTATAGTTCTACAATATAATATTTTGTATGATAACTTTTTGTTAATTAAATGACATTTTCACCCTTAATAATAGGGTTTTAAAAAAAATTAAAAGTTAGAGCGACTAATTTTAAATTTTTAAATATGAGAAAGATCATATGAAATTGCTTCAGAATTTATGAAAGTTTTATACATTTTAACCTAAAATTAATAATTAGAATTTATTATAAAATAAATAATTTATAAAAAATTTACATATATTAATTTAATTTAATTGGAAATAAGCTATTAAATAAATAAGGTTAAGTATATGAGTTTTTTCGTGTTTGCATTTGCCTGCTGCATTATATTAGGAGGAGGAACTTTCAGGAATTTAACGCAAAATTGAAGTCACACGTCGACACTATATGCTTTCATGGGGCACTGGTTTAGAATGAGTCAATCCGATCCGTCCAACATACATATGGCAGCGCTTTTCAATTCATTAATAACATATCCCTTCTTTAAGAAATTATGCTTTAACGGTATTGATAACGCACGACAAAATTCCCTTGGTATTGAATTATTATATGTATAAGTTTTGCACAACAAAAATGTTCGTCAGTTCAAAGACCCATACGAAATCGATCAATTTTACTTGTTGAATTTGGCACAGATTTTGGTTCTAATTAAAGCCTTTTTAATTAATTCCATCCTGTCCTAGAGAGCCAATTCTTCAAAGCTCCTGCCCCTGAGATCCGTAATGCGATATGCAAGTTTGATGAAACTTCCCATGGCCATTGACCCTTTAGTTCAAAGAGAAGACATGAATAAAATGGAATAAAAAATGAAATGAAATGAAACGTTAAACCTAAACAAAAGGATGAAATAGAGTGGTGAATTGATTAGTACTTTTAGGTGGGAAACTCTTGCTGATTTAGATTTGAGGTGGGCGTGTTGATTCCATCAAGGAATGAGGCTTTCACAAACAATCATATTTCTAAGACTTTAAAAAATGATAAATCTTTTGGATTCAAAATATAATAATCCCTCTCTCTTGATTTATGAGACATGTTAAAGGCAATTTATTTATTAAAATATAAGATGTTTTAACAAAAATAAAATTTAATTAATTATACTTTTTGTAATATTACCGTTCTCTTCTTATTATATTTTAACTTTATATTTAATTAATATTTCACATATAAAATTATACTAAACAAAAGATAATTTTTAGAATTTCTATTTATGCTTTAAAAATAATATTATAAAATATATTAAATAAATATTATTAATATACATAATTTTGTTAAAAAATGCTTTCTTCTATCTAAAATATAAACATTTTTTTTACTAATTTTGATTTAAAATATACCTATAACTGATTTTCATTTTATTTTTTTACATTTATTAACATAAATTTTTGTATAAATTCACTTTCCATTATAAATACATCAATAATTATAATTAAAAAGAAAAAATAATATACATTTTTATGAGAATAAAAATTTTAATATAAATTTAAAAAAAATATAGTGAGATTAGATTTGAAAACAAAAACCCGTGAAAATGGAGATCACAATGATGAGCATAAAAAAAATAGAGAGAATGTACTAGAAAGCTGCGAGCTGGTGAAGAAGGAAACCGTCACAGTTCCAACTTCAAAGCGACTTTCTTTCAGATACGCTTCTGCCCTCGTGCTAATCTCCTTCCCGATCCTTTCGCCCGTACGATGCCTTCCCGAAGAAGAACCCTCCTGAAGGTCATAATTCTCGGCGACAGCGGGTTCTTCTCTCTTCTCTCCTCTATTAGACTATTCCTGCGTTTTTGGATGTTTGATTCTATGACTTTGGATCTCAACGCGCCTCTTGGCTTATAAGAATCGAAACATGTTATGGAAATCTCTGGAGTTCATTTAGTATCTGTTAGTTGAATTTATACAATCAATTCGATTATGCCATCTAGTTCTGCTGGTACCCACTGTCAATTTTCCTGTTTCGATTTCTGTAATTCTCGGCCAAATAACAATAACAAACCAGTGCAATTTACAGTTTTGGATAGTGATATATTTTGCAAATGATCTATAGTAAAGGGCGAGTTTCCTATTCGTTTGGTACAAGATCTTCATTTTTCAGAACAATTCGTTTAGGAAATGTAACTTTTGTGTGTGTTCTTCTTTTTTGTTTGTATCAAACTAAATAAAAATGATCAAATTATTTGGTTATAAGCGCTCAGGAAGTTGATTTTAAGGTTACGGAGTTATAAACGTTACGTTATAGCAGTCTTTTTGACTAAAGAATATGGTGCTTTGCAGGGTGGGGAAGACATCTTTGATGAATCAGTATCCTTTTGTGCTTGTGCCGAAGCTCTTTATACTCCCACAAATCTTAATAGCATATTAGCTACTAATTTTGATAGTATTATCTAAGTCAGTTGTCATATAACATCTCTGTCTTTCTGTAACATAAGTATTATAGATATGTGAATAAGAAGTTTAGCAATCAGTATAAAGCTACCATCGGAGCTGATTTTTTGACAAAAGAGGTGCAATTTGAAGATAGGCTTTTCACCTTACAGGTTTGTGAATGGTGCTTGCCATATGCTGTCTGCCTGTCTCTTTTTCTAATGTCCAAAGTAGCCTGTATGCAAGAGCCACAAGGCTAGAGCCCCGCCCAATGGTGTCTAATGTCAGTGAAAATGTTCGTTTGATTGTGATATTACATGGAAGTACCCTTCTTCAAATCTATTTTGCAACTTACATGCCAACAAAGCTGAGGAGTTCTTTGGACTCAACCTTCTAAATGAAGTTTGGCTTATGATGTCCCGTTTTTCAGACTCATATTGTTAACGTACATTTGGGGGAATTTGTCATATATATTTCATTTCAGCATTTCAACACAGTAATTTTAAATGTATAGTTGCGTATGTCTGGTATCAAGCTTCTTTAGTCATTATCTGTTTTACCGTTAAAATGCTATAAGTTTCTCAAAAAAAAAAAAAAAATCTCGTACATAGCTGTAGGCTGCTGAAGATGTTCTTTCCTATCAGATCTGATTTTTTCCCCCTAATTCAGTTATAGTTTTCTTTTCATTATTAGATCATGCCCATGCTGCACTCCTTCAATGAACTTGCACCTCTAAAAAATATAAATACGGATGTTATAGTATATAAAATAATGATATGGTGTTTTCATTTATCTAAATATCAAGTATCTTGAGTGATAATGGTATACTTGCTAAATTTATATATTTGAAATGTATATTTTCAGTGAGTAATGGCTAATGGCTGAATCTTTCTCTTTCATTAGTGTTACTATGGAGTTGTTGTGGTGAAATATTATGAGCTCTCTAGATTGTTCTTCTTTGTCCAGTAAGCGTGGGGTTAATGGCTTCTGCTTATTAATCATACTCTTATAATGTGATGTGTTTCATTTTGTAGATTTGTTTATGTGGATAGGCAGTTTGGGCGTATTATAGACTATTTACTATGATTCTTTTTTTTATTATAAAAGTTCTAAGCAAGGCTTGGTTCCAATAATCAAATATCAGCCTTTTATGTTATTAGATTTAATTTTGCAGATTTGGGATACAGCTGGGCAGGAAAGATTCCAAAGCCTTGGTGTTGCTTTCTATCGTGGTGCTGATTGCTGTGTTCTTGTATATGATGTTAATTCCATGAAATCATTTGACAACCTTAACAACTGGAGGGAAGAATTTTTAATTCAGGCATGACTTGTTCCCTCAATCCTCTCCATAGATACAAATTTTGAATTTTAACAACTATTAGTGTTTTTAAAGACACTAATATCTTTGATCACTTCGACAGGCAAACCCTTCCGATCCAGAGAATTTCCCTTTTGTTGTTATAGGAAACAAGATAGATGTGGATGGTGGGAACAGTAGAGTGGTATGTTTTTGCCTTGAATTTTCCTTGTCTTCTTGGCTCTCTCTCCGTCTGTCTGTCTAAAACATGCATTAGAGGCATTTGTGAACCTGAAATTTCTAACTCAGCTACTACTAAACATATGGACTCAATAATGAAGTTTTGTGTGCAGGTTTCAGAGAAGAAGGCTCGAGCTTGGTGTGCATCAAAAGGAAATATCCCATATTTTGAAACGTCAGCAAAGGAAGGTATCAATGTTGAAGAAGCATTCCAATGCATTGCAAAGGATGCCCTGAAAAGTGGGGAAGAGGAAGAAATGTAAGTTGCAAAACATGTGAATCTCTTCTTTCATGTGTATGTTGAGGCACTAGAAAACAAATTATGCTGTCCGATTTTTTTGATAGTGTTAATCTGTTGGGGACATAGCTTGTTCCTATTGGCATTATAGTTTTCTGTATTTAATAAACTGCAGCATCCAATATTAGCTGCGGGCGCTTATTATTTGCTGGCAACCAATGCTTATATTCTTTGTCTAATTTGTTGGAATCATGACCTTATATTGTTGTTGAGTGGCTAGCTTGGACTGTGCAATTGGAACAATTTTTGGACAATAATTGAGTCACAAATAAACATTTTGCCCCTCTTCTTTTTCACTGCAGCTACTAATTCATTATTTAAATTCTACAGCTACAATGGAAATTAGTGTTGGCTGTTGAGTGGTTAAGAAAGTCTGGAAAATGTTAACCTGGAAGTGCATATATGTTTCAATTTTTCTCGTTAGTGCATGTTTGCGGCATCCACTGATAGTCATCCAAACTTGTATAGATACTATACTATTTGGAAATCAAAATATTCTGTTATGATGCCGATGCATAATTTGGTTTTTGTTGTCCTGATGGAACTTCTTTGCTTATTGAAGATACCTGCCTGACACAATCGATGTTGGAAGCAGTAGTCAGCGACGATCGTCTGGATGTGAGTGCTGATTATATTGCCTTCTAGTTTCAAAAGAAAGAATATCATTTGGAATTATTTGATCATGTTTGGCTGTTGCTGTCTGTAACTTTATTGTACGTTAGTGTCTGCTTAAGAATCAACCGGTCCAATGCTTTCCATTGGGTGCTTGTTTCGTTTATGTGCTAACTAGTCGGATTTAGTTGCTTTCCTTGTACGGCATTTCTATATTCTCAAAGAGACCCAGTAAGATCGTTCCGAGTGTTGATGTTATTTGTTATTTTGCTTCAATGTTTATTTATTTTATTTTTTTTGACTTTTGACACTTGGCATATTAAAATTTTCCACGTCTAGTTTGCATTGATCACCCTTTGCATCATGAAGTTTTTAAGCCTCAATGCTGTATTTATGGTGCGAGCATGTGACTTACACTCAGTGGACAAGGTTTATTAAACGTTAAAGCTGCGATAGTTTATGATACAGCCAGGTAGGGCTCCACCCTGAAACAGATGCAATTATCGTTTTAATGGGGTTTCTGCATTAACCAAAGGGGAAGGAATATCAAAAGCATTCCTTTGCTAGATACAGTACAACACAACTAATGTGACCGATAAGGATCCTCGCGTTCGGAGCCTCTGTGGTGCATCCCCCTTGCATAGATCTGGAGTGTCTGTGTTATCGATGGCCTAAGGGTACATCTATAGCTAAGGCATGATGCCGTTAAGTCTTCACAGCTTAAGTGGGGCAGACTTAGGATACCAGTTGTTCACGCAAAAAATAAATAGATAAAACCAAGGCATGAGAGGGGTGGAGAAGAGCAAAACAGTTGCTGCATTTCCGGGCATTGAAGATCTGACCTCTTATCTGAGTCGAAGATGTAGAAAAATTGGCCATGGGAATTAGATCCGAAAAGGCCAAATTGCAACTTGCGAGCCCCTGCATGGCCGCTTCAGAGTCAGAACTCAGAAGAGATCTTGGCATCCTCGACCTCTTTATTCAGCTATGGGGTCTTCCCAACTCTCTTGCCTAGGGGATAATTTAAGAAGTGGGGGGTGGGGGGGGGGGGATCACTTCCAAGTTCTATAAATAGAAATGGAATTACGGCAGCTTTGACTGCTCCTGTTGCATTCAAAAAAACATAAAATTATTTTGAAGTTACATCTCTTTTACTGACCTCTGATTTTCAAACTACAGTTACTCGGGCTTTGCTTATTAACGTACTTGTTAATTCGCTCTGCGGTTTGCAAAAGGAATTTCCTTTTTCCCCTTATATCCTTTTCCATTTAAATTGAAAGATAAATAGGTAAACGTTTCAAATTTATTTAAATTTTCAAGCAATTGAGTAAAATCTAACATAGAAAGGAGTTCGGTCACCCTTGACTTAGTATGATTTCAGAAGATAATTTTTTTCTGCTGGGAAAATGAGGGCAAGAGACGCAAAAAACTAGAACATAAGCTTCGACAAGCAAAACAATTGTACTCTTTAACAAATAGAACAGGAATGATCCCAATGCAAGCATCTCCACCAAATCACTCGCGAGCCCTACCTAGAATTAAAACTGCACTTGCATCCTGTTAAAGTGCAAGTAATCCCTCATACTGCTTACAAGTTATACATGACCAAAAAGGCAACCGATACATTGAAACTAGGTAAACCCTTCCAAAGCTCAGCTAAATTTGTAGAAAAGCCTGTTGAATATTAGAGTTGGGACCAACCCCAAACAATGGAGAGAAGAAAACACAAAGCAAAAAGGCACAGCACGCTTATCTAGTGTGGAAAGTTCTAATATTGGAACAAGCAAGACATGTACATCCTTAAAACCATCTGAATTTCAAAATGCACCTTCCCAAGAGTTAAGCGAAGTGAGATGGGAGAAAGCAGCCCTTCCCAGCATGTCTATCCACTTGCTCGAGCTAAGCACGTCAAAACATTAATATAAGCCAATAGCCCTACAAATTCAATATGTCATCAGATCTATTTCCTAATCGCCACCTCTTGCTGCTCCTTGTAACGAGGTAAAGATGATCTTACAATCCATGACTCTGGTCATGGAACTGTCAGTAACTGGTTTTGGAGTGGGTCTCCCGACTCCTAACCAACGCTTGGCCTTTAAAGAATTGGCTGCATCGCATATGACCATGAGTGAGTAATGCAAGGACATAGTTAATAACAGAATTAGTCACCAGAACCATGCAACCATTTGATTACTTTAAGTAGCAATTAAGCTATCACACACAAACAAAAATCAGTTGACAAAACCGTACAGTCTATGGTGGAGGCTTTCACATGGGCATGGAAACATCATTTCTAAACGTCTGCGGGGCAAGTAGTAAGCAATTTCCCGTAGTGCCACACATGGTGTTCATGATTTCATGTACCATGTAAAGCTTGGCTCTTGAGGTTTCACAATTAAGTCAAAAAAAATGTGAGTGCAAAAGAAACACGAAATCAGAATGTATCAAGTGTGACAGTCCACCTAAAATAAAGTATAATATGCTCTACAGCTCTAATTAATCCAAACCATAGTTTCTTTCAAGTGTCACACAATCATGCTTAATCAGATCCAATTATCCGATAAATAGTATCAGTATGTCATGCCAAGTACAACTTTTGGACTGCATGATCAAAAGTCATGGTAACAACTTGCCATTCTCTGAATAAATAAACAGCTCAAGGACACTTGGACCAAGGCAAATTAGTATAGCCTCAAGATTGAAACTCATCAATGATGAAATGCCACTCTCAAGTAGAAATAGCCTGAATTATCAACACAAACATGTCTTCCATCCATGATGAGGGAAACATCCGAGTCTACGTTTTGCTTACTTTTCTTTGTCCTATTCATGCACTTCTTGTTTGTTCCCATTTTCAGGTTCCTTTACATCTTAGAATACCAGTATTAAACTAAACCTTTCTAGAAACATCAAAATGAGGTATTCTACTGGCAATGCTATTACAATTTCAACCAACAAAAAATCAGCAACAAATTAAATGGATACTCACATTATCAGAAAAGTAGCAGACTATCAGTAGGTAAGAATATTTGAACATTCTCAAGATGCACGTGACATTTATTTTGTCTCAACAGAAGAAAGGTTCTCCTGGCTGGATGGCAGAACTGAATTTCCCGTTGCAGGTGATGATAATGAATTTGAAAGGGTGGTTGCCACATTGCCCATGGATCTAGAAATTGGTAGCCTCTGGGGATTCATATTAATTGGTGGTCTAGGTGCTGAATTTACAAAATTCATAGGAATTCGATTGGTTGGTAAGGAAGGGGGTACACCTCTAGATGAAGGTGGTATACCGAGGCGAGATGCAATTATCATTGCTCTCTCATGGTAAAGCTTCTGACGTGAACGATCCAAGTGTTCTCTGACCCTCATCACCACGTTATCCATATCATTGAAAAAGGCTAACTTTGTCTCCAACTTATGCACCTGCAAGTTGATGAAATACTCTATGAATTTCAAAGGAATTGAAAATAAATAAATAAATCCCTGCGCTTACTTTCTCTAACAATGAGGATACCTGCTTTTCTATCAACAATGTAGCAAGTTGTCGAATTTGATCTTCTTCTTGATTTGCTAGAAGTTTTGCCTTAACCGCTGCTGCAGCAAGGGTAGAAATCGCAGCACGCTTTAATTTTTCAAATTTGTTTTCTTGTTTGGTATTTATGTTATTATCTACCATTTTCCTACCATTTTCTGTGTGGTCTTCACCTGCTGCATAAGGAAGGCATCAATCATTTTAGTGAACTTAAGATAAAAGCTATTCAAAACAAAACCTTTCAACGTGTGTGTGTGTGTGTGTGGAAGTTTGAGCATAAGCGCTCGTCAGAGAGAGAGACCTGTGCTTTTCCCATTTTCAGCACCAGACCTTGATGTGACTGGATGAGAATGTTCATTCTGATCCAAAGATGTCATATCAACATCCTTTGCTGTCCCTGTATGTTGATACAAATCTAGTGTAACCTGCGGCTCAGATTCGTTCTCTGATGGCAAGGAATTAGAAACCACATCAACATTCGTTAGTAGTTCTGTTGTTTCCATACAGTCACCAACTGGATTTCTAGATAGAGGTTTTTGAGGTTTACTTTTATCTAAGGGCAAAGAATCAGACAACGCCTCCATGCCTGTTGGTGCCTGCTCAGACTTGGGCTTTTCTCCTGCTTTACTAGACATAATGGACTGCTCAAGTTCATTCTTTTCAGAGCGAAGACAATCAGACACCACACATTCACCCTTCATTTTCTCTGCAGGCTGACAAAGCTCTTTAATAGAAGTTCCTTCAGCGTTGGATGTTGAACCATCTGAATACTGGACAGTACAATCACTGAATAACTTTGAATTGGCTGGATTTTTACAATTATCAAGCACAATTTCCTCATGATTAGCTAATACTTGTTCCTTTAAAGCAACAGGTTCCTCTGAGGCTCCACCATCAGTAGAGGTCAACTGTCTCTTGTCTTCTAAAGCATCATTTGCAATTATCCTTGGATCATTTGATACGTCTTTAGCAGTTAATAAAGACTGATCCTGTTTTTCACCTTCATCCTGGTCCACATCCATTATAGAATCCCTATGATCCATTCACACATAACATAAGCATCTCATCAACAATTCAGATTAGGCATGAAGTCGTAAGATATATATATATATATATATATGCCCCATTCAATGCAAATACCTCTCAAAACTAGAGGGTCCCTTCTTTTCATCAGGTGGATCTTCCAGAAGAAAGCAATGTCTTGCTGCAAGCTCAATGCTGGGAGAATTAGAAGATATGGATTTTAAGGAGCTATGAGCTGAAGCAACAGCCATATCAGAACCCACCAAGCGTGCAAGGAAACCTCCCTGTAAAGAAAGCAGCATGTGTTACACGACGAGAGGGATAACATTAGACTGAAAATATGAGATATATATACAAGACAGGACACCAGGAAAAGGGGAAGGGAAACATACTCTTCATACTAATTTTATCCATGTGAGATTCAACAAAGTTTTACGTTGACTATTATGAACCAAACACAAACCTCCTCCTTCATACTAATTTTATAAGCAAGAAAATTTAACACACAACAAACACCAATAATTTAGCAAAACCTACCTTCTCCAAACACATTCTATGAAATGTTTTACACACAGACAGGGAGAGAACCACATAACACCAGCCAGCAGTTGAAGTAATTTTTTAATTATTTTTGGGTGCTTATTCTAAGGAGAGAATACAAATATCATCACAGTCATAAACAATCACATATGCTTGTAATCTTTATCAAAAATGAAATTCTCTCGTTTAAGCCAGGCATTGAAAACCAGCACCACCAAGTACACAGTGCTTTCAAATTTGCAGGCTAAAACAAATTTATTTCAATCCCTTCCCTATGTTTCATTAATAAATTCAACTGAATGGACTGATTGATATCCATTACAAGTCACCAACACCTCTGCAATAAGTGCGCTAATTTTCAAGCACCTAAGCATTCAACTTACCAATGCCATGACAGGATTGCCCACCTCAGCAAATGAAGACGGGCCTTCAGGTCCAGAAGAATAACCAATAGCTTCAAATGCTTCCCCAAGAGCTTTTAGAACAAAATTGTCACCTGCTTCTTGTCCCAGTTTCACTTCAGCAGCATTTTCTAGTCTGCAAGTTCCTTCACTAATTTTCTCATTGCTGCCATTTTCTGGCATTAGAGTCTCTTGACCGGATTTTACTTTATTAGCATCTTCACCCTTTGAAGTTTGATCACACGGGGTCAGCACTTGTCCATCACTATTACTGGTCTTATGTTCAAGAGTTTCTGATGCATCTTTGACAGTAGACGAATCATTTTTAGTTGCAGCTGGATCAGCAGTTTCTTTGCAATTGGCATCAACAACATCACTGTCAACAAAAGCTTCTTCAATTGGCATTTGAACAAAGTGTAATATACACTGAGCTTTTGTTTTCGTTGCAACGTGCTCAGCAATTTCATTCCAATTTTCTTTATAAAGTTCTAATGCTTCAAGAAGCAAGAGGGTCTCCTGATCAGTCCACTTTCCACCACTAACCCCTTGAACTTCAGCTGGTTCCATAAGTATAAAATCCGTTGAAGACATACCAGAGCCAAACTTTCCATTGCTAAAGCAATCAGAACATAGATCAAAATCTGCCTGTCAGAAGCAAATTAGAAATTATCAATCACCCTATTTTTTCACCAACATATGAGAAATCTAACTGAAAGGCATAAATTCGAGTCAATCCTACAAGGTGAACAGCCTTTAGGGCACAATTATTAACAGTATTTCAAAGAATGTACCCTTTATTCCATGTTTAAATAACAGTCAAGAAGACCTTATGAAAATGGAACATCTTCGCATAGAAGATGTAAAATGTATATTGGACATTTTAGAAATAGAAAAGCATTTTGCATAAAATTGAAATCCATTGGATTTTTAACCTTTTTGATTGGATGGGAATGAATGTAGAAATACTAAATTGTTCTATAACAAACTGGGAATCTTTTTTCTTCTCTAAATTTTTATATTTTATAATGCATATACAAGAAATCCATGGATCATACCAATCAAATTCCTTTTTTTCAATTTTAATGGAAATCAAAATGTTAGTGAAAAGAAAAATATCACGGAAAAGAAAAAAAATAGATATTTTTAGACGATGGAAAAAAAAATCTTGAATTAGAGTTAGAGACTAGAAATAAAGGAAAAACAGAATATGCAGATCAACTAAATTAAGTTAATGAATTCCCTTTTACTCCAAAAAAAAAAGGAATGCACCCTCTTCCAAGTCAATAGAAATTCAAAGAGGCAAGTAGCTTTTCCAAGTTGTTGGATATGAGAGTCTTCATTATCATATTTTCTGCTTACACTCCAAGCCTTTCAATCAATCTAGAACTATGTTGTGTCACAGCACTTGATGAGTATTTGCAGAAAAATATTTTTCTAAAAATATAATTTATTGCAGAAAAGGTGGTAAATGATTCCATACATCATAATTTAGTAACTTGAAAATAAACTGAAGAGGTATAAGAGAAAAATTTGGTAACCAATACAATCCTCACAGTTGGAGGTAATTTCAACGAACTACACCAAACAAATGTAGATAATCACACGACCCTTAGAGCAGCAGACTAGAAACAGGAGCTCAAATTTAAACTATAATAAAATAAGATTAAGCCAATTAAGATATCTAGAGTCCTTAAAACATAGCTAAAATAATGCAATTCAATGACATAGGTAACAACCTGCTTCTGACAATGGTAGCGTTTGCGCGAACAATCAGCTGAACAGGAGTTGCAGTGGTACTCAACAGCTGGGCCCTCCTGTTTCACCAACTCTTCAACAAATGTTGATTCTGGAAACAAGCCAGATGGCATATCTTGAGTCATTAGGTTAGTCTTTGGAATAACATGTGGACACAATTGCACAGTTTCGAAGTGATACAATTTTTCAACCAAGGACTGCTTTTCTGTTGCCCCATCATCATCAGTGCTGACCAAAGCATTGTCCATAGATGGAAAAGGGTGGAAATTAATTAAACCCCAATGGTCCAGAAACTCCATTACCTCTTGCCTAGCATCCAAACCTCCAACATCAAGTTCAGACAAGTCTTTCAGCTCAATCTGAGCATTTGGTTTTGCATGGAACTTCTTCATAATCCAATTCCGTATCTCCATATAAATATCAGGAGTTCGATGTTCAGTTTTCCCATTAAAGAAAGAAGGCAATGCATTCTTCTCAATTGGATGGATATCCGTCCACAAAAACCAACCTGAAAGTCAATTCCAGAGGTAAAATGGTTTGTTTGAAGAAAGCTGTCGTCAGACTTAAGGTTGACACTAAGATTACTTATCCTTTTCAGTTTTTAAGAGGATGATTTTTCTTTCTTTCTTTCCTTTTTTTTTTTTGGTTTCGGTTGGGGGGGAGGGCACCATAACTTCAACTTCATGAAACAGCTGTTAGATAGTGAGTCAATGGAAAACCACCAGCCAAGCTAAAGCTTTTTAAAAAGAATAAATCTCTTTTTGAAGATTTAGGAGTGATCCAAGGATATGGTTAATAAAATCATCAATATATTGTTGTGTGATGAACATTTTAGCTACAATTAAATATTTATAGCAAAAGCAATTATTAATTCTACTATTCACATTTCTAAGGTTATGCAGAATTTTCTGATGATTTGTTGTGCTCAAACTTCCATTCTAGACCTTACAAGGTTCTGAAAAGAAACGAGAAAAACAATGTTACTGAGTTCACAAATCTCCCTTCTCTTCCTCACACTAATATTCAAAAGACAGAGGGAAAGGGTTATTTTAGAAGCTAGTCCAGTCAATAACTCAGTATAAGCATTCTGACCAACGACAATAATTTGAAATTAAAGCTCCCAAAGCAATGGGAAAAGGGATTTCATAATCATCCCATAAAGCACGGGCTAATTTAGTGTCTTGCATATTGCATAAAATCATTTAGTGAGCTCTGCCCAATCAAATTAACAAAGATCAATTTTTCCCAACATCAACCCCGCTCTTTTTCTAATAATACTGTAATGCCAGCAAGATAAAGGTGGGATGATGATAATGCTTCAACCGGTTAAACATATTTATGGTTGACTATAAAATGCGGCCTCCAGTGGTAGAATGAACCACGGTCTAATGGCAAACTGCAAGAGGCAAGCATAACTAGACTGAATAAATCCTATCGTAAGCACTAAGCAGAATGCTAAATAGAGCCTACCGTAAACCAGCACAGTCGAATTCAGCTGAAACATTCGCCTTTGGAACACCAAAGGATTCGAAGCATACATAATCAACATCGTCGAATTTCCAGTATATAATGTAGAAGAATCCGAGGAAGTCCTAAAGCTATATATAAACAAACTAGGGTTCTACAATAGACACATGGGCTCACCACAATGACTCGGAACTACATGAGCATTGGCACCACGAGATCTGACAGCTTCGAATTCAGTTTCAATCGCAGCTTCCAGAGCCTCCCACTCGCTCTCCTTCTTAATATCCTCCGCAAACGCCGCCGATTCTCTACCCAGAGCTTCAGACGTCACCGCGCGCTCTGAGTGTCTCGAATAGTCAGCAGCCAAGCCGCCGCCGCCAGCTAGCAAGGCTGAAGCGGCAGTAGTGGCGTGGTTGCTTGGGATTTGACGAGCCCTGGTCAGGGGGCCATTGTGTACGGGAGAAGGATGAGCAGGCAGAGCCTTCTCGCGAGTAACACGTTTCGAGGGCGCAGGCGTGGAATTCGAGGCGCCGAGAGTGTTACCCTTTCTTTTTAACCCTCCGGAGCGGCGGCGGGAGGAAGCCGACTCAGATGCCGGCGAATCGACGTTGGACGACGGTTGAACGGCGGCTTCGCGGTGTTTCTCCTCCATCCAGACGCTCCTCTCCTGAAGGGGGAAATTATTCAGTGTGACTGTGCTTGGTCTTCAGAGGCGTGCGTCGTCATCATATCGCGAATTGCTACTTCCAGAGCTTCTTCCCCTCTCACTGCTTTCAGGCTTTCATCTTTTTGGGCATTTGAAGGGAGGACGTACGGGAGCTTCCCTTCAATATCGATTTAATCTCGTGCGGCGCACGTCCACGGTGTAGAGCTATGCCCTTCTTCCTTATTGGTGGTGGTGGAAAGAGTCAATGGCGATGAGTCATGAGTGACATGGGTGGCAATTTTAGTGAGCTGGGGAGGAAAGGTTATTGACAAAGTTAATTAATTAATGCTTGTAATGTGCTCCAACTTTAAATTGGTCCTTTTTCCTGATGCATAGAAATGTTAAAAGTGCTTCTTACGGTTGGTGCAGCCGGGATCAAAGTAAATCCCAAAGGATTACCTACACTTTAATTGCAGGTCCTCGGATAAGCCATGTCTCGATCACACATCATTAATGACACGAAGTCTTAAGAGCCTTTAATTTTCCTGGTAACATTGGCAACCGTGGATGATTTTGCCGGTGCTAGTTTTGATGAACGTGAAATTTGGAATCCATGATTGCGTTTTGTTTCCTAAATTGTTCATCGGCTCTTCCAAATCCCACCTAGATGTTGATTTTTTTTTTTTTTTTTTACTTGGTAGAAAGGCGGGGAGAGCCCAATAAATTATATTGCTTGTCAGAAAATTGGGAGTATATTCCCATACAATAATAGAGAACCAAGTCCTTCAGAAATAAGCAACAACATTAAAGATACAAACAGTGCCTCTTTAGCAAGTCTATCAGCTACCCTATTATGTAACCTTGAGTTATAAGCTGTTTTGACCTTCCAGCTGCATCTCAGAAGCTTAGAAATTTCAATGTTCATCTCAGAAGCTAGGCGTTAAAGTTCTGGCAGTTAGCTACAGTGTCCAATTGAAGATGGTGGAAGACCACAGCATGAGTTATTTGTTTGTTTATAAAAGAGGGCTAAGCCCAATTAGAGTAGAAAATTAAACACAGAAAGGGGATTGAAATCCCAAGCTTTCTTTCAGTACTAACTACTTGGTCCCCAGAAAGCGGGGAGGAGGAGGTTGGGATCCCTTCTTTCGCCAGTAAGTCTGCCACCACAATATAATAAGTTGAAGATGGAGCACGCCTACAATGTTAACATCGACGAGCTCGGATGTTTGTGGGCTTTTGAATTTGATCTGGGCCCTGCGTTGTTTATGGATTTGAATCACTTCTTTCCACGTCAAAAGCTAGTAGTAGATTTTACCCCCAAAGAAAAAAGTCCAGCAGTAGAATCTAAACCCCTTGCTTGCTGTCTGTTTGTATTTGGGGCCTGCCCTCCTTTTCATCATTTATTCTTTATGATTTTTATTTAATTATAATTTAGTTTTTAAACTTTAACCCATTATAACTCAAATTTTAAAATTTTAACTCAATTATAATTTAATATCTAAATTTTAACTCTTACAAATCAATTCTTATATTTTTTATTATTTAAAAGTGGTCCATGTATCTTAAAAAATAAATATAAAAATTAAAATTATGTTAAAATTTATTATTGATATTTTAAATTATTAAATCCTTTTAAAATTTATAATTTCATTTTTTATAATATAAATATTAATATTTAAATGATTAAAATTACTAGGATTGAGTTGCTAGAGATAAAATTTAAAAACTAAGTTACGACTATGTTAAAATTATAAAAATTAAGTTGTAATGAATTAGCGTTCATAAAATAATTATAATTAAGTTAAAATTATAAAATTAAATGATTAATTTTTTTTATTTTTCATTGGAAAAGTGAGTTGCTTTAATCAAAACATAAGGGCCTGGTCATTCGTAGCTTCATTTTAATAATTCTTTGTTAATTTATGGTTCAATTAGCTAGCTATTATATAGTCATATAAAGTTGTCCCGAGCAAGCTACACGGTTTCATGTAAAGCAAGTGGTAACGACAACCAAGTGGATTTGGACGTTCGTTTCTTTGTTTATGGCTAAATAATAAATTGATTTTCTTGGGCCTGAAGCAACACAATAAATTGGCGATGGGGGATGAAAGTTGAGAGTTGAGTCATGACTCATAAGGCATAATGGCATCAAGCCTATCCCTAGGTAGATTCGTTCCCAAGATATACATAGATCACGACCCCTGGTAAACTTGCAAGACCGACTTTTTCCATAGGGGAAAATGCACTAGACTCACGATACTAGGATCATCATGCTGCTTTGCCGCGAGAGAGAGACACGATTATGCTTCGTGTAAGGGTTTTTTTTTTTCATATGATTTTTTTTTTAGAAAAATAACATCCAAAGATTGTTGAAAAAAATTAAAATTAATCAAGGACCAATTGACTTCAAGATTACACTATAGCTCCTTAGTCATTGATTGATATTAATTTTTAAAGTTAAAAGTTCAAACTACCCCTCTAATTAAAAAAAAAAAAACTCTCACTATCACCAGTCGCTAGACCACTATGGGTGACAAGGTCACCACAGCCTCTATTGCCAATGGGGTTGCTAGCAGTCAATTATCAAAATTTCAACAATAGCGACATTTTTATTTAAAAATAATTAATTTAGGTAGTCAATTGAAAGTTTGAACTCATGACTTTAACCACTTAAAAAGCTTGGTGGTCACTAGGTTATCAAGCCCTTTAATTATATATAATAGAAAAAAATAATAAATTAAACTTCTAACCACTCCTGTGTCATAACATAATGGTGTGTTGTTAATTTTCAAATGAAACTTGTTATTTTACAAATGTTATTTATTAATCCGACAAAGACAATTACAAATTATAAACTTTAAAACTTCATGCATTCTACTTGTTAAAAGTTTGAATGTATTATTGTTAATAACGAATAGGCTGTTGTCAAAATCTAAACGAATACTTGTTAATGAATTACTAACACGTACAACTAAATCTTTCCTATAAATTTTTATAACTTGTTAAAATCAAAATAGATTGTTGTTAATTTCAAATGAATTGTTATGAAGACCTAAATATATGCTTGTTGATAAATGATTGACACATACAATTAAATCCATGTTATCTGTTTTCCTAATTCGTTAAAACTCAAATAAACTATTGTTAATTCAGAATGAATTATTGTCAAAACTCGAATTGATACTTGTAGTTGATGATTAAAAGCATAGGTAATAAGTCTAATGTATTGTTGCTTTTCTAGTTTGTTAAAGTCTGAATGGATTGTTATTAATTTAAAATAAATTGTTGTCAAAACCTGAATAGATACTTATTAATAAAAGACTAACACATATAATTATGCTCATTTTATATACTTTTCTAGCTTGATAAAGCTCAAATAGATTCTTATTAATTTAAAATGAGTTGTTGACAAAACTCAAATGGATATAAGATACCCATCCTATGTGCTCATTATTGAAAATTGTATCCTAAGATCAATCATTGTATTATGAACATTGTTATTTAATAAATTTATTTTTTTATTATCATATTAATTGTACGTTTACTATGATAACTGTATTTTTTGATAAATTATAGTGATTGTCCTAAATGTCCCTGGTCAGTCATTTATGAGGGATTATAAATGAAACAAGACTAGCGTAACTTTGATTAATTATAGTGATATAAATCAAAATTGTAGGCACTTGAAATAGTTTAAGGTGTAGACCGACCCACTATAAAAAAACTACATGATACCAGTTATAAGATTATCTCATATGTAACCATGTCACTAAGCCCTTTAACTTAAGATCATCATGAATTCCCACATGATGATCGTTGAACTCTGGCATTGTCAAAAGTCATCTTTAACCAAGTTATCATAAAGGCTATGATTGAGTTTAATGATATTCACGCAGGTATGAGTGATCAAAGTGAAATTTGTCCCTTATATTAATTTAGAGATATTACTAGGGCCCTCAGTGAGTAAGACTAAAAAATATATGATCATACTATAATAAAAAAGGTTTTTTCATTGTTATAGTCAGTCCACTTAAAGATCGAGAAAGTAATGGTCAAATAAAGGAGAATGATAATTTCATATCTCATACTTGACCAAAATACCGCACGACAAAAGAGATATGATATGATTATATAATCAATTATATTGAATCATCGATCCTCATATGAATTGGGTAGTCACAATATTTTGCTAAAGGCTGCTTATAACTTGTGGGTTAATAGCGTTATTAGCCTATTACCAACTTCATATAGGCCTATAAAGTAACACATAAGAACAGCCTAACTTGAGTTATAATGTCCAAGTTCATTAAATCTGAAATATGTCTAGATTTAATAAATATAATTTTTTATTTAGAGTGAATGAATTATATATATACAAACATATTTGAATATTTATTCAATAAATATTTGTATTTTTTTTTTCAAAATATGCGTGCTCACACACACATATCTAATATGCATACATTATATTATATTATATTATTATGTTAGTTTTAAATTTAAATTTATAGAATAGATTAAATTTAAAAACTAACATGATATAAGAAAATATTATATCAGTTTTATAATTTTAATTTATAAGATAAATTTAAATTAGATATGATATTATAGATTAAATTTATGATATAAACTTAATTAAATTTCTATGGACTTAAGATATAGTTTTCAAAAATAATTATGATTATTTTTGAAATTCAAGGAGGGAAAATAAAACCCTAATCTATATATATTACAGAGAAGGGTGCTTGCTTATGTGAGAGAGAGTTAAAAAGAGTCCCGACGACCAAACACTTTGAGAGTTACGAAACATCTTAAAGAAAAAAAGAATGGCATTCAAAAGGACGAGCGGACGCTGGAAGTGCTAGTATGTTATTCAAGTTAGAGAGCTGTTCGTGTGGATATCGATAGATGAAGCAGATCTTTGTTGTTGGCTCCTGAGTTCTAGATTCTTGCGAAATAACAAGTGAGAATTCGAAACTCAAAATATAACTCTTTTATTTACTTTAACTTAAGCGAGTTCGTTCGATCCACATTAAGATAGAAATTTTAAAAATTTAATCTTCCGCTGCATCTCCCTATCCAACAGCTCATGTGCCCGTCATATTAGGATTTTGATAATAATTCATTCTAAATTAATATTAGTCAAAACTTGATGAGAGTTTCTTTTTTTTTTTAACCAGAGAAGCAGTTTGGACTTTAAATTTAAAAATAAAAATCAATCAATAATCAAGAGACTGTAGTATAATT